ACTAGACAAAATATACTAAGAGAATAGGATTGAATCAATCGAGTTTTGTCATGAAATGATTTTTTCACTTCATTCCGTATCATGAATCATGTCTATTCTATTTTATCTTCATTTTAATCATCGTTATTATCGAACAAAATAACAACAGATTGAATTAAATACGTATATTGACAAAATATTATTTCGAAAGAGTAAAAATAAAAGATTAATCAATAGAAAATATAGAATGGAATCAAAAAGATAATAGATTTTTTTTTGATACAAAACAATAATGTACCATTATTTATATTTAGAAGGAAGAGAATAATATATAAAAGTTTACTCAAAATTCCATTTAATATTAAACTGAAATTAGATTAATATTTCTTTTTGATTATTTACAGTTGAGAGAGAATTCATAGGAATAGAATTAATTCAGAAAAACGTCTTAAATAATGAAAAATATTCAGCAAAAAAAAAAACATTTTCGTTTTGAAAACATTGATAAAGATACAGTCAAATTTGGACATAGAATCAATAGCTATTTCCTATTTTTAAATCAATATATATTATATAGAATCGAAAACAAAACAAAACAAACAATAAATGATTTTTTTTATATCTATACTGTCCTCATTTTTCTTCATTCTCGTTAACTCATCTATATTTTCTCTCTTTCTTTTACGGCTAAAATTCAAATATATAGCTATGCTATCGTCAACACGACAAAATAATGAGAATAATTGACCTTTTCCTCTTATATTAAACGGGTGTTCGCTTCATATTTCCCTGCATTGATCGAATATTGAACTATTTTCATCGAATTTATTCGATTGATGTGAGAAAGAAAGACAATTGCTTGTTTTTCCTCTAAACTAGTTGACGGACAACTAGAACACCACTTGAATATTATACGATAAAATGTACTCTCGGATGAACTCTATGTATTTTCTTCTATTTTGTTAACCTTTTATTTTAATTGATAAATAAGAATAATAGAAATAAAAAAACAAGATCACGTCATTCCACAATATATTGATAGAGTACTAAAGTTTGTTTTATTTTTGCTTTAGAAAATAAAAGATATCTATTTGATTTTTTTCGAATGTCCTATTAATTGTAGACCGTCCATTGATTTTAATTATTAGACATATTATCAAGTACAAAATGTGATCAGTGTTTTAACTAAAAGTAAGAAATTCCGATCTCTCTTATCAATAACATATTTACTAAGAGATTTTTCTTATAGATCGGTTCTATTATAGATACGTCTATCACTTTTAAGTAGTTTAATCGTATTTCATATTTTTTTTGTCAAACATTCACCTTTTTTAGAATTATATTTCGACAATGATTTTATCTCGATACGTTTAAGATTAATGAAAATATCATTAGTTAGTTCATTAACACAATGAACTTTAATTAAAGAATGAAAATATTATTTTATTTTAAGTAATAAATAGATGAAGAACAAAATTCTTTTATTTGTTATAAAAGAATAGAAATTAATATTGAATTTTGAACATGCAAGAGTAATAGTGAATGAATAAATATAATGAATTTCCGTTCTTCTGTTGAAAATAGAAGAAAAGAAGTCATAATTTTTGTTTTCATTTTAGATTCTGATTAACAATATATTGAATTATTCGGAAGAATTCGTCTAGTTAGCATAAAATTCACAAATGAAAATATGCGCATTTTAAAAAGCGTTTATCCGTCACGAGGCCTTTTTATTTTTCAAAAGCCGTTTATTTAGATTTTTCAAATTTTCTTTTCTTCTTTCTATAACGTGTCATCGAACCTAGAACTTTTCTAGAGAAAGTTTTTGGTCCGCACTTTTATTTGCGCTGAATTTTTCAGTTCTTTATATAACATTCAAACTCGAGATCATTTTTAGTTATTCCGTCACGATCCTATATTTCAATCTTAAAATTGTCAAAGAAGCATTGATTCTAATGAAACTGAGGATATGTAGAGCAACTCGACTTGAATATATTCGGAAAATTTCACCTTTATCTGACTTCGTTTCGGTGAGATTTTGAAAATCGAAAGTGCTAAATCGTTATTCTGTCACGAATGGACAGGTCGATATTCTTTTTTTTTAGATAAAATGATAACTAGACTGGAAACATTACCTAATGAAATTCTTCTCCGTATCTTTTCTCATCTATCATGGTTCGATATGTTAACATCTTTATGGTCTTTAAATATTCGTTTCAATTTTCTTATCTGTTCAACATTTTCAATAAATAACTGTTTATTAAATCGTGCTATTATTTTTACAGAACAACGTTTATCTTATAATAAATCTTGTTCAATATTATTTTCGTTAATTTTCAAATCATTATATCTTTGTTCTTCTATTAAACGTATTCATTTTGATGGAACAAATTCAATGGCTTGTGATCTTAGCTATGAATGGTTATTTAATGATAAAAATATGCTTCGTTTTCCTAATCTTAAATCACTTATTCTTACTCGATGTGGATTGATTGAATCATTAGTTCAAACTTTATTTAATCTTATTAAACACCAATTAGATGAACTTGTATTAACATTCGATGAGTCAGTCTTCCATGGGATGAATTATGTAAAAGATCATATGCCAATATTTCCTGATAGAGGTAATCAATCGATCGTTTAATTGATAGATTATCGAAGACAAAAAGAGATTCGTTTCTCATAAGGAAATCATCTTAACTAAGACCAATTACATTCTACATAAATTTGTCTATTGAAGAATCTATAAAAATTTCAATGCCTAATTCCTCGAGTCAGCATGTTCGCTCTCCAAAAGAGAAACACATCGAGTTCGTCTCTTCTACTTTCATAATCAAATGATTCCTGAGTGAAAATCAACTAAGTGATAAATGCTAATTAGAATCATTTAGGAACGAATCAGCAGAGAATCTATTTTATGTAAAACGAAAACGGTTTCCATGGGAGGAGTTCGATTTTGAAGAAAGAATTTTTTTAATGTCTATAATTAGTATATATTCTATAATTTATACTTGTTTTAAAATTTTCAATTGGTTTTTAATGAAAAATGGTCTTTTCTATATGTTGTTATCTTCATCGAAGATATTTCTCTTTTAACAATAGGTAAAACTTGTCAATGGATTTTCTTTTCTTTTGTTTTTGGGAGCATATTTTCTATACCATGACCATCGAACAACACTCCCAAACACATTAGGATAACAGTGGAAATTTCAAATATTATCTTAAGAAAATAGGCATCGAAAAGAAGAAGAAAAGGAGGGGAGTATTTACAAACCAACAATACAGTGTAACCTATACTATAATCCTATATAGAGACACCGTTAGAAAATATTGATCTTCGTCGTAAAAATGAAAACTAAATTTCATTAAATTGACAAATCTTATGAGATGATAAATTAGCTCTAAGATAAGAGTTATCTTATCAAAGAGGATATATTGAAATAAAAGAAATCTTAGACTGATTCATCTCTGGAATATTTTACTCTTGAATTATCACCCGAGATATGTGAGAACAAGCGGACCCGAATGAAAATTTCAAGATTCACTGCAAGTAGACCAGACTTGACATTGCCAACAGGAAAAAGTCAACTAAAGAATGCAGTTAAATATTTTATGTTGTTGAAGAATTTATCTTATAAATGATACCAATCAAAACAAAATTAAAGAACCATGAACAAAAAATGACATTAGTCGACTAAATCAGTCAGAGAATGAGTATGTCAAAATTCATTTACATTTCATGTCAATGAATTCTGATATAATTTTATCTAGTTCGGACCAAGACAAGACCGGTATTCAATAAATTAAAATCGTTAGACCGCATTAGAACTAAGGTCGGGACTAAAAAATATGGTCTTACACATCTCTTATGACCATTTTATTAAATTTTCGGTGAGTGACAGAATATATTAACAAATATCAAATGCCGGAGTTGTCATCTGAAAGTTTATCCTTAAATTGGTGTCATATTCCCTCGAATATCAAGTACGCACCCAGAAATTTTTTTAACGAAGTATCATCATAGAAAACAAAGGTATTTCTCGACTTGTGAAAACTAGTCAATCCGTACCTCCTTCAACTATTTAAATCTTTCGAGGGGAACAACGGGGGATTGATCACCCTAACCTTCTTCTGGATGTCATCCTGTTCAATATACCAAAATTTTCAACCAAAACAAACGTTTTCTTGCCATAATAGTAATTTCTACAGAAATTT